GTTGGCCATGCCCAGCCAGTCATATGACCACCAAGCCACACCCACCAACTAAGCCACACCCACAGAAACAGTTGTTAAAAAAAATGAATCCCATCCCTGGGCTGTGCTAATAGATTTTTAAAAGACTGATCAAGTTTTCCCTTTCTGACTTCTATACTAATCATAATAATTAATAATTAATAATAATTAATAATTAAGGTGGAGCCAGTTTAACTTTTTTCCAATATTCACTTTTCCCAAGCTTAAATCATATTTTGTTGAATGTTAATTCTTTTTTCCAAAGTCATATTTATAACCCAGTACACAATGCAAGTAAGTACTGAAATCTGCCAATATATGTGCTCAATTACAGAATCACAGCGCTTGAATACAGAATCATATACATCACTGCACATTAAATAATACATTTTCCATCAGTAGAAATAACATCTATTTGGATGCCTGTGCATAACTATTTTCTTGTAGAAAATACTGCAAAGTAGGCTACTGGTAAACTCTGTTACTAGGCAACCAATGCAACTAGTTTGGATCACTATGGAAACAGTTGTGTTTCTAGGAGAATACAGGACTTTCAAAAGTATGTAGTAAGAGCATCATCCTTAACATCATTTCTCAGTGAAAGTTATATAATTGCCATTACAAACTTTGCAAAAGTCCAAGAGAGAACGACCAGGGGAGACATGATAGCAGTGTTCCAATATTTGGAAGCCACAGAGAGTCAAGCTATTTTACAAAGCATCTTGAAGGCCAGACAAGGAATAATGGATGGAAACGGATCAAGGAGAGATTCAACCTAGAAATAAGGAGAAATTTTCTGACAGTGAAAACAATCAACCAATGGAACAGAAGTTGCCCTGGGAAGTTTTGAGAGCTTCACTGGAAGCTTTCAAGAAGAGACTGGACTAGTGTTAGAAATAGTGTAGGGTCTCCTTGGGCAGGGAGTTGGCTAGATGACCTTCAAGGTTCCTTCCAACTCTGTTAATCTGTATCTGTATCTATCATTCTGGGAGCCAATAGTTAGAGTTCTGGTGAGCCTAACACAGTGCATGACAAACCACTTCCATAGTCTATTGGAATCGGAATCATGATTAAGAATGCAGTCATTGCTGTATCCACCAAAAGCAACACTCTAATTCTCCTTTTGTCATTAATTACCCGCTCCAACCAACTGACCCAGTGCTTCAGAATTGTCAACCTCAGGAATCATTAAGGCAAGATTCAATAGAGGATCATCAGCCACAGGCATCTCCTGTGCAGCTAGAAAAGTCAGATGGTGACACATAACCCACAGATCTAGACTCATAAAGAAGCGAAGGATGAGGATTGAATAATTGCAGATACTATAATTGCTTGGCATCTTCATTGGAAATCACCATTCAAAATTCTAGTTTGTGACTGTTGTTACTAATTCTTGTTCATGACTCTTTGATTCTTAGACTGGCTGACTACCTGTTTCGGCTTTGTAACTCCAGAAATGTATTTGGACTATGCTAATGTTTTGTGGGTTGTAATTAGCATTTTTCAGGCAAGCACTCTTTGCTAGGCATTTGAATTATATTCCTGCCTGCAGTTATTTGCTGTAGCTTCAGGCTATGTCTATGTTTCTATATTGCAATCTTGAGACAGATTACAAATTGCTCTTCCAAAAGCTATTGATATTTGAAAAGCAATAAAAAAGTAATTCCAAAAGCAATTAAAAAATGAGGCTCGGCTTAATAATATGTTCATGTAGGCTATATTACAACTGTGAGCTTAGATGGAATCCCTCAGCTTCTAACTGCTCAACTCACCTGCTGACCACAAAAAGAATTGGATCCTGCTAGTATACTTGAGAGGAACAGCCCAGGGGACATGTGGATGATCTTTCCTTGCTCTGGAGAAATTTTGGGGGTCAGAAACTACCTCCTGACTGCTAACTTCTACTAGAATGTCATCTTTCAGGAATGACTAGCTTACCAGATCCTCAGTGTAAGTCTCCATAACACTTTCCACAAATGGTTTTTTTTGGCATCATCAAAATCTGCCAACTAAAACAAGCAAGAGCAATATGAATAATTAAGAAATATAGATCTAGAAACACAGGTCTAAACAAGTTTAAAGAGAATTTTTTTTAAAAAAACTATAACTTTTCAATCATGGGATAAAATGTATCTTTATAAAACAACCTGAAATTCTCAAACCTTACACAATTTAGTGATTTTTAAATTACCCTAATACCGATTTTATGAAGTTTTGCAGTGACTACCTTTCCTTTTTTGTTTAACAAATGAAAAAATACAGTATACTTTTGGAAGGAGAATGAGAGAAATTTCAATAATTTTAGATTATTTAATGTTAACCTTGACATATTGTGGCAAAAGAAGCTTATTGAAAGTGGCAGTTAAAGTATATAAATAATTAACATTACAGCCTGCTCGAGTACTGCATTTAACAGCACTAGTGTGAATATAAAGCAGTAATATAACAAAACCACTTAATAGTCTACAATTCATATAAATTAATTCATTATACAGTTCATGCAATTCATAACAATCTCCTATATGAGAAAATGTGTCATCTAAAGCAGGGGTCGCCAACCTTTTGGACCTCAGGGACCACCAAACTCATAATTTTAAATCCCGCGGACCAGAGACCCTGGGAAAATCCCCCTCAAAAAAGTCTGCAGGAAAATTCCCCACTCCATTTTCCTACCGATCGATCATTCTTTATTTGGGATCGCAGGATATTGTCTCCAGCTCCGTTCTCAAGGGACGGAGAGACTTTTGGCTTCATGCAAGGAAAGCAGCAGAAGCAGCAGAAGTCTTTCTTTCTCTCCCCAAACTTCACCAGAAATGAATCTTTGCCGGCACAGCCTCTTGGAGCAGGAGGTCTTGCAGGGTCCCAAAGACTCATTTCTGGCAGAGTTTGGGGGAGAGAAAGAAAGACTTTTGCAACCAAAAGCAGAAGAAGAAAGAAGCTGAAACAAGCAGCCTGGTGGCCAGGCCAGGCATGTGGGGCAAATGGGGCAAGTTCCCTCCCTCCGTCCTTTCCCCCCTCCTCTCACTACCTCGTGTTGTTCACAATGCAAATGACACAAGCCTTGTGTTCCCACGCGCCATGTGGGTGGCGCAGCGTTGTGTTCCCGCACAGCCTGGACTAATTGCTTTGGGGGGGTGCTTTGGGGGGGGTGACATTTCTTTGCGGACGACCAAAATTTTCTCGCGGACCACCAGTGGTCCCCAGCCCACTGGTTGGCGACCAGTGATCTAAAGATTAGTTTCATTTTAGCAGGGCTTAACACAACTATATATATGCAATTTATATCTCATTATGAAAATCCATAGATGGATATATATCTAATTCAAAAAAGAAACAGAACACTCACTTAATGGCATCCAAAGGTGAATATGGTTGCAGAGGCTCAGTTTATTAAATAAACTGCTGTTACGAAGATAACTGTGTGAACCCTTCTACCTTTTCAAATTACTGGAATCTTTTTCAATCTAGTATTCATATCCAAATGCTAGAGCACATTATCTTGGTGCATATGTATGGACTCTGCAAAGTGTTTATCTCAAATCTAGTCTGTGTGAAATTCTAGATGATGCCAATGAAAAACAGATAATCTTAATTCTCCTAGTCACTAAAATATTTAACCATTAAAGCAATCTTGCCACAAATATCAGACAGTCTTTGCAAAGAGTTGCGGCCTCAGATTAAAAACATATAATTGTGCAACACATTTTATTTTGAGGGTTTTCTGTAACACTAGCAAGTAGCCAACCATGAGCTTTTGTCAGTATTGTTATTGGAGCTGTTTAATCTATACTGCTTCTGGTTATATTCATGTTTTTTAATAAAAGTTTTTATTTTTTAAGAGAAACATATACAAACAAAACATAAAACCATCTTCCATTTTATATACATACAGTGCGTCAGTTGGTTACAAATCTTTTGTGCTATCCTTTCTTCATCATTACTCACAGTTTATATAATTTTTCACATTGTCAAAGTAACATATGCTTATATATGTATTAGTTATTAATCATCCGTGGCTGAACTATTTATCCCATCATTTATATGAGATATTCCAAATTTTATTTTAAAATTTATATTGTGCTTTCATCCAATGGTTATATATGTCTATATTATATTTTATATCAATCTATTGAACTTCTATTACAAAATAATCTAATCTATTACATTACCATGTCTTTTTGTCCAACCTTTGATAAAACAAATCCCATATTATATAACATTGGCTTATCTTCTTGCTCTCTAATTTCAAATGTCAATTTACTCATTTCAGCACACTTGTTTCTGGTTATATCCATGACTTCGTGAAAAATGTCAGGTTTTGCAAGTATTGTTTGGAGATTATCCTTTGGGCCTGTCATTGAACCTTCATTCCTACCCATAACCATGGTTCTTAAACCATGGGGCAATTCTGTGTTAGCTGCTTGTTTGTGTGTGCGGCTGTCAAAATGCTTGTGTAAAACACAAGAGGGGTTGATCAAGTGTGTTTTTGTTGGGACGGGTGTGTAAGTACAGCATTCGAGACTGACAGTGTACTCTATAGCATGTCTCCAACCTTGGAAACTTTAAGACTTGTGGACTTCAACTCCCAGAATTCCTCAGCCAGCAAAGCTTGACAGCTTTAAGATTTGTGGACTTCAACTCCCAGAATTCCTCCTCCAGTCAATGTTAGCTCAGGAATTCTGGGAGTTGAAGTCCACAAGTCTTAAAGTTGCCAAGGATGGAGACCTCCGTACTATAGGAATCTGTAATTGGCAGCTGATCTAAATGAAGGTGGGCGCAGCTCGGAACTTCCCTCAGAAGTTACGAGCCCCCCCATTGTTTACACCGCATTTGCTGCTCAGCCCCAGCAACTGCGGTGAAGGCACCCGCTCAACACGGGACGGCACATGCGCACTCCGCTCCCTTGGAAAGAAACCAACCCACAACCCCCCGCGCAAGTGACGTCAGTATAGCGCGCCACCTCTTGCTTGTCATCGGTTCGCGCAGCCGCACGTGTGGCCTCGGGCATGGCGGCCTCTCCGGCCCCGCCGGTGGACGGCGACTCCGGCGTCGTGGCGGAGCAGTTGCAGACCTTGAGGGTCGCCTGCGAGGGAAGCTCCGAGGAGGCGAGGGCGGCGGGCCCGCAGGAGGACGGCGAGCAGGCCCCGCTTTCCCCGGAAAGGCTCCGGGAAGAAGAAACCCCCGCAAATTCCCCGGAGTTTCCGCGGGAGCCCAAGCCTCCCTGGGCGGCCCCGAAGGGAGGCTTCGCCGCGGGAGATGCTCCTCACTCGAGCGCCGCCGCCGCTGAGGAGAAGCCGGCTGCTCCCGGGCCGGTCGAGCAGCCCCAGGCTGGGGAGGCCCCGTCGGAAAACCGAGAAGGGCGCCAGCCCTCCGGGGAAGCCGAAGCGGCGGACCACCCTCAGCCGCCCTCCTCCTCCTCCTCCTCCCCCGGTGCTTTTCGGGGCGGCGACAGCGAACCGAACGGAGGCCTCGGTCTCCCAGCGGCAGCGGTCGGTTGCCTAGAGGAAGAGGCGCTCTCGAAGGAGAAGCCGGCGGGACAACGGAGCGAGGAAAAGGGCGCGTTGTCGGGGGAAGGTGGGGATGGCTCGGAATCGGACAAGTGAGTCGGGGAGGTTCCCGTTTTGTAGGTTCTTCACGTTTTATTTTAGAATAGAACAGAATAGAAGAAGGGGCAGAATAGAATAAGAGGTAGAATAGAATAGAATAGAATAGAATAGAATAGAATAGAATAGGGGGTGGAATAGAAAAGAATAAGGGGTAGAATAGAATAAGGGGCAGAATAGAATAAGAATAGAACAAGAATAG